ACAGGCTGAGGACGCTGTTGTTGAGGTCCGGCGGCGTCTTGCCTTCCTTCTTGTAGGAGGACTTGTCCTCCTTGCTCTCCTTGGGGAGGTAGAAGGAGTAGCGTACCCGAGGAGGGGTCATCTTCCCCACGGAGAGTACCTCCAAAGTCAGAGGTTCCTGGATGGGCTTGAAGGCTTGGAGGCTCTCGACGGCGGTGCCGGTGCCGCTGTACCGCAGGACGCTGCCCTTCACCATCAGGTCCCTCTCCACGGCCGAGAGCAGGTACTTGCCCTGCCCGTTCTTCAGGGCCAGGTAGTTGTCGTCGCTGATGAGCCCTTTGTAGCCTCGCTGCCTGATGTCGATGTTGGAGGCGCCCGCGGGGATGACCACCACAAAGTTGTAGCCGTGCCTGGAAGAGAAGAGCAGGCAGAGCAGGCCGTCAGGCAGGGTGACATCCCACTATGACATGGCCTCAGCCTGAAGCTCTGCAGCTACAGCCTTGAGATCTTCCCACCCCTAGTGTTCTCTCCTCCTTGCCAGCTCCTCCCTACACCGAGTGTCATCTCGGCTGAGGTTATGCAGGTATGAGGTGCTTCAGCTCCTCTGGCTCAGCAGCACAGATGTAGCTCCATCAGCAGAAGCTGACACTACGTTAAATGTGTTCTGCTTCTCCTTCAGAGCTTGCCCAGGTCTCCATCCAGTGATGTACACTAGCACCAGGTGAGTTTTCTCAGGATGGACTTAGCCCCCACCACCATCTCTATAACCTTCCTGCACCCACTCCAGAAAGCAGAGCTGGGAGAGGGGAAGTGCACATGGTCACCCAACACTTACATGGGTTTGGTGAACAAGCCCGAGACCTTCTTGCAGCTCTTGTTGTCTCCTCCACAGACACTGCATTTGTCAAACTTCTTCTTGGAGCCCAGCTTCCCATCGCAGCCCGCTTTGATGCATTTCCCCTGCACGCAGACCGAGGTGGAGTCTGGGGAGCAAGGGGTGCCATCCACAACCTGCAGGAGGGTGAGGAAAACAAGCCACTGCATTTCCCTGTGGCACCCCACAAACCTCCCCAGCTGTGGCCATTCAACCCAGGGCCACCAGAATCCACCCAACATGTGCCAAAGAGATCTTAGCAGGTACTGAGCAGGTACTGTGCCACCTTTCCTTCATGCTCTGCTTCGCAGTCAGGCTTTTTAGGGTCTCTGAGAAGAGCTGTCTGGGACTAGATCCCTTTTCTTCTCCATCCTCATCATTTTCTACCCTTTCTGTTGCATCAGTGTAAAGGGGAGGGGCTGCACTGGGGACACAGCTCACACCACTCTGCTCAGTTCCATGTCTGGCTGCCTGCCCAACACACACATCACTTCCCCAGCACACTAATTATCATTCTCTATTTCAGGACTACAGGCATATGCCAGAAGCACCTTCACAAACCCAGAGGAAGACCCTCCATGGACCAACTCCAGCCTTGAAGTCAGTAAGTGGACACATATATGCTGCTCCATATCAGCCTGGTGGATTTTCCTCCTCAACAACCTCATCTAACACCACTTGCCCACCAGGCAAAGAAAATTTGTTCAACTCCAGGCATGCTGGAGTCATCCTACAGCCCAGATGCTGACCCTGGGTGGGGGGTCTCTCACCAACCTTGGGTGCCAGCACGTAGAAGTAGCCAGTGCCATTAGCCCGGCAGATGAGCTTGCATTTATCCCGGGGTGAGACACCAGAGTATTTGGGGACCCAGGAGATGGAGGCAGTGAGGCGGTTGGTGCTGTGGCTGTAGCCGTTGAAAGCCTCACACTGCTCCTCACGGAAGCTCTTCCCTGGCACTGGAAAAGAAAGGGGATGTGGGTGGGAGTGGGGAGCAGCCCACACCCAGCTGGTTCCAGAGGGTTGTTATAGGTGGTGCACACAGAGCCAGGCGAGCTCCAGCCCTTACCTGCAGCAGAGCAGGGCTCCAGGTTGCAGGAGCGGTACTTGACGCGGATGCCCTCGCAGTAGGAGCCCCCGTTGGCAGGCACAGGGTTGGTGCACTCCCTCTTGGCCAGCTGCACCCCGCCGCCGCACGTCCGCGAGCACTGCCCGTAGGGCGCCCACTTTGCCCAGCCCCCATCCACCTGTTGGGATGAGGTGGGGTGAGATGCTGCACCCCCTTTGCTGCTGGCTCCATCCTGAGCCGGGGTTCTCCAGACTCGGAGCCATCTCGGCACTGGTGAGGCCACATCTCAAATCTGGGGTTCAGTTTTGGGGCCCTCACTCCAAGAAGGACTTTGAGGGGCTGGAGCAGGTCCAGAGAAGGGCAATGAAGCTGGGGAAGGGTCTAGATCACAAGTCTGGGGAGGAGCAGCTGAGGGAACTGGGGTTGTTTAGCCTGGAGAAAAGGAGGCTCGGGAAACCTTCACACTCTCACCTCCTTGAAAGGAGGTTGGAGCTGGGGCAGGTGTCAGTCTCTTTTCCTAAGGAACAAGTGACAGGACAAGAGGAAATGGCCTCAGGTTGCACCTGGAGGGATTTAGGTTGGGTATTAGGGAAAATGTCTTCCCTGCAAGAGTTCCCAAGCCCTGAAACAGAGTGCCCAGGAGCAGCAGTGGATTCCCCATCCCTGGAGGAATTTAAAAGCTGTGGAGATGTGGTTCTGAGGGACGTGGTTTAGTGGTGACCTGGCAGTGCTGGGTTAGCAATTGGACTTGATGATCTTAAGTTTCTTCCTACCAAAACAATTCTAAGATTCTATCCCTTTGCAAGCAAAACCTCTGCCCTCCAAACCTGCCCAGGGCTGGATAGAGCAGAGCAGCAGCATCCCTCCTTGAGAAATATGCAATACCCAAGGGACTTCCACCCCTTTCCACCAGGTCTCCAGCACCAAGAGGTGGGGGATTGCTCAGTCAGCACCATGCTAAAAACCCAGAGTGACCCGACGGGAAGTTCTTAGGGCTGGAGGTGCAAGTACTCACCCTGTACTTACTGATGTTATGCCTCTCAACGCAGGCACCCTTCAGGCAGAAACGTCCTTCACCACAGCTGGTGCCATCTGCCCAAGGGAAGTGCCGTGTCTGGCACACTATCTGCCCACGGGCCTTGCCCGTGCACCAGAGCTTGGCACAGTACTGCATGTAGGGGCAAGGCTTGGAGCCCACGCCAAAGGCCAGCTCGCATTGCTGGTTCAGGCTGTAGCTTGTTCCTGGCAGGTCTTCGGGCAGTGGGATGGGTTTGGCAGGCTGGTCCAGCAAGCAGTCTCCTGTGGGAGTGGGAATGGGGTGATCTACAGAGTCCTCAGGAGGTTGTATGGACCAGTGTGGGGAAGGAGAGCATCATTGTGGGGAGGTGAGGGGTGGCTGATGATGATTACTATCCCAACAGGACCAGGTGATGCCATTGAGGTCACCTGCATCCCAGACCCAAGTGACTCTATTTCCTGGTTGGAACAGGTACAGAGGAGGGCTACAAAAATGATGCAAGCCCTGGAAGCCCTCTGCTGTGAGGCAAGGCTGAGAGAGTTTGGGTTGTTCAGCCTGGAAAAGAGAAGGCTCCAGAGACACCTTCCTGCAGCCTTTCAGTACTTAAAAGGGGCCTGTCAGAAAGATGGGGACAGACTTTTTAGCAGGGCCTATTGTGACAGGACAAGGGGCAATTATTTTAAACTAAAAGAGGGGTGATTTTGACTAGAGAGAAGAAATTTTTTAGGCTGAGAGTGGTGAGACAATGGTCCGGGTTGCCCAGAGAGGTGATTGACGCCCCATCCCTGGAACCATTCCAGGTCAGGTTGGATGTGGCTCTGAGCAGCCTGATCTAGCTGCAGATGTCCCTGCTCCATGCAGGGGGGTCTGACTAGATGATCTTGAAAGGTCTCTTCTAACCTAAACCAGTCTATGATTCTATAATTGGTGTCACTGGCTAGAGCCATGCTGGCAGCCTCAGGGCAGACATCACTGCTGGGGTCACCTTGGCACTGAGGAAGCTCATCTGGTGTAGAAACACCACCCAACTCCCTATTTCCTTCTGACTTTGTTCACAGAAGAACAAGAGCTGCTCTACAGTCCATCAGCCTCTCCTGCTAACCAGCCCCAGGGACAGCTCCTGCTCCTATGGGGCAGGGACACAGGTAAGAGGGCAAGGGGTGCAGGAGGGCTCACCATGGCCGCTGTCAAGGAAATCGGTGATGATGGCAGCACTGCAGGCTGACCAGGGGTTGGCACGGTCAATCTGGATGAGGGTGGGGGACATCATGTGATTGGTCTTCAGCCGGCCAAAGACCTCCTCGCAGGCCTTCACGTTGTCATGGGGCATGTTGAAAACATGGCCTGGGGGGAAAATAAGGGAAAGCAGTGTGAATAACTCCACCTGACATGCAGAGCAGCTTCTTGCAAGGGGGGAAACCGAGGCACAGAATGGGGCAGACCCTTACAGGGACTGCAATTTCCGTGAGCAGCCCAGGAGACAGCTGGGGAAGGACAATGCTCATGCATGCCCTGGTGCAGACCAGGAACTTGGAGAAGCAGGAAGAATACTTCAGCATTCACCCCCCTCCCTCCTCTTCCTCCCTCTGAGCATAGCAAGTGTCTCCAGAGGCTGGTGTCCCCTCTGCCTGTTGTTTCAGGACTCCTGAATCCTGGAAACCAAGCTGAGGTAGCAACCACAACAGCAAAGCCTTTTGCTTTCTCAGCAAAAGAGAGAACCCAGTTCAGGAGGATTTCATGCTCCAAGGTGGAGTTTTCCCATCACCGGAACCCAATTATTGTCTCATCTTCCGGAGCCTGAAACCAGGGTTATTTTGAACTGTGCCAGCTCCTGGCATTCCGGAGGGGAAGAGGAAGAGGAAAGCAGGGAGCCTTACCCAGCTCGTGGGCGGTGGTGAAAGCCGAGGGCAGCCCGTCGTCCTCGATGACGGAGCAGCTGCGTTTGGGGTCACACATGGTGCCCACATCTGCCATCCCCAGCGTGTCACAGGTGGTGGCACCACACAGGTCCTGTGAGGCATGGAGGCAAGGGGTTAGTCCAGCACAGGCATCCTAGTTCTCCATCCACACCCCATCCCCAGTACCTCACAGGGAGCTGATCCCAGGCTGCTGGGGAGGGGAGGAAGCCCAAAGGGATGGGGAGGCAGGAAACCTCACCCTGACCTCCCAGACTGGGCTGCAACAATACATTTGCATTTAACCCTGTCACTGGAGATGCTTTTTGTGTGTAGTATCCTGCCGTGCTTCAGTGGCAGCTTTTCCCACACAAACATCTCCTCCAACCAGGATGGGGCTGGCTTTAGCATGGAATAGTCAGCCTGGCTCCCTTCTTCAGTGTGAGCTCAAGGACCAGACCCAGACAGGTGGACAGAAAGACACCTGGCCTTGCACTCACAGCTGACCTGTTTCTTAACCTCATTTCTCAAATTCTTCCTAGGAAAAAGCCCTTGGACTAGGTCCAGAAGTTCCCAAAGCTGAGGGAAGTGTTCCTGTCTCTCCAAGTAGAGCTGTCCCTCAGGGAGCAAGCAATCCCAGCTGATTAAAGAAGGATCCAGCCCAGCCTTCCACCCTCAACTCAAGGACAGCTAGACTCCACGTAGATGCAGCTGGGGCAGAGGATGAGGTCTCATTGTAAGTGGATCTGCCCTTCTTTGGGATCCAAAGGTGCTTGTGCAAATAAAAAGCCCATCTGAAGATGCACTGCTGCTGCAGCCTGGCAGTAGCCTTGTCCTCACGTGCCCCCTTCCCCTGCTGGGGTCCGTCAGTGGGTTGGGAGGGTTGGAGCATCATCCCCATCCCTCACCACGCTGGGAGCTGCTGGGGAGGCCATGCAGGAGGCAGGGAGCTGCTTTCCACATGAAAAGAAAACGTAAGGGACTCGCCGGGCGCTCCCAGGCTATAAATAAGTGTGATTCATGCTCAGCACTCGCCCAGCCAAAGCGCCTGGGTTGCTCGAAATCTCACATGAGCTGCTCTGCCAACATTTCCAACGAGCTTTCCAAGCTGAAGGCATTCCCGTGCAGGCAGGTTCAGCCATGGGTAAATAACAGTCCCGATGACTTCAGAGAGTCCTGGCCAGGGCTGAGATGGCTTTAACAGGAGACCTGTGGCTACGAAGGCTGGAGGCACAGATGAGACTGTGATCTCTGAAGTGGAGAAACGCCTGGGTCTGGGCTGGCTGGTGGAAAACCCTGTTGTACAACGGGGTTCAGCTCTCCACTCTGCAATAGCTTTCCTTGTCAGCCAGGACCTCGATGTGTCCCCGATCCCACTGTGAACTGATGCTGGCAGGGACAAGCAGGTGGCAGCATCGTGTCCCTGCTGGCATTGCCACCACTGGTGAGCACGGTGTGACTAAATGGGGCTGGCAAACCTGGGCAAGGGTGCCCACCCCAAAAAGCCACTGACAGCCAGTATCATCACCATGCAGAGCTACCCCAGGGCTGCAGCTTGGCCAAACCCCCCTGCCTGTTCTCTCCCCTGGGGCCGTCCCAGCGCTGGGGCTTTGGGGGTGGAGGTGGAGTGTGGAGACAGAGCACCCCAGGGAAGAGGCGGCCGCTGGCAGCTCGCTGCTCTTTGAAGAGTTGCTGTTTCCTCACTGGCTCAGTGAGCTTTTGGCTCCCAGCCCAACACCTGCACTGACACACTGACCCACTTCTTGCTCTGAACCACGCCTGCCCCGGCTGTGGGGATACATGAGCAGGCAGCTCTTCTTAACGGGGCTTTCCCTCGCCCCCCAGCCACAGCCTCCTAGGGACACCCCACTTTGAAAAGATGCACATCTCTGTGCTCTAATGAGGAGGCCTGACCCCCCGAAACACCTCCTCCAGCCTTGCCAGGGATCCAGCCTGCTCAGGAAGAGAGGCAATGCAAGGATGGAGCTATGGAGGTGAGGAGAGAGAAGTGCAAGAGATTTCAGGTGGGAAAGCAGCATGCAAAGGGCCAGCATCACCAATATCCTGTGCTGCCAGCCCAAACACAAGGAGAACGCCGGGTGCCCCAAGGGGCTGCGAGCAACCTTCTAGATGAACCACCAGGACTCTCCTGCCAGCCTGACCTTCACCTGTGGGCACTTCTAAGGCTTTTCTTCATCCCCTTGTGAACTTCTCAGAGTGTTCTGCAGGTCAGTTGGGGATGCACCTTGTAGCTAGTGCTTTAATTTGCCAACTCAGAGACCAGGTCATAGGCACCCTCCCTGCTACAGAGGCTTCCCATGTGTGTCCAAATCAAAAAAGCAAAAAGCTGAGCTTTGAGCTATGGAGCACGGTTTTCCAAATTCCTGCACAGCATCTGCTGCACTCTAGGCTGCAGGCAGATGTTCCTTGGTGTGATGTCCCTTCGGTTTTACAGCAGGCCAAAGATGTTCAGCAAACCTTTGCTGGTAGGACATCAAGGTTCAGGGTGAGTGGGAAGTGTGGCCAAGCCCTTCACTGTGGTGTGTGATGTGATTTCCAAAAGGCTGGAGTGAAGCTGAAGGCTGGATGCTCTGCAGGACCTTCAAACAAGCACCAACTCAGGTAGCAAGGTAAAGCCTGAGCAGGACCGAGTTCCCCAAAGGCAAATCCACAGTCCAGCACAACTGAAGTTGGGAGGGAGCAAAGCCGAGCAGGAGGAGACAGCCCCATCCATCAGCAACTCGTTGACACAAGGGGAAACTGCCTATCAAGCGGGTTCGAGATGAAATTTAAGTCGGGGGCTTATGTAACAGCTTTTTGGCAGGGAGATAAGCTCCGGGGTGTCAGGGGACCACAGATGGATGCACTCAAGGAAGGCAGATGTCTCCTTGATAGTGTGCCTTTGCACTGAGCTTGCCTTGGGATTTCAGGAATGGATGGTTTAGCAATATGTAAAAAATGCAGCCCAGCCATGACCTGCAGCTTTCCTACCACCGGGACCGAATCCGTCCCACCTGTGGCTCCAGTGACCCCACCAGAGACAGAGCTGGCTCGTCCCCACAGGGATGTCAGCAGCTCCTCCTCCTCGCAGGCAGGAACTGCTCCAGCAGGACTTACAGCACAGCCCCTGCCCAGGGTGGGGAAAACAAGGATGGGTGGGATGAGGTCCCACACACCCTGCATGGCACTGTTCCCACTCCAGGCCATCATCAGCCTGCACTGGGCCCAGGTTAGGGGCAGCTGGATGTGATATCCTTCCCACCCACGAGTGCTTGAGCTGGAAAGATGCTTTGGGAATGGTGTGCCTGCTCTTCAGGGGAATTCCTGACTTGTCCCTAATCCAAAAACACCTGACCAGGGATAGGGGAGGAGAAAATGCAAGTTGCTCTACTTGGCAAAGCTTGCCAGGATAAAATGTGACTGTCCCCATCAAGCCAGGCTCATCCTTCTCCTTCACAATCTAGGGGTGCAGGCTGGAACACTCCAGCCAGGCACCGCCCCCATGCCAGCGCTGAGACAGGACCACAGGGCAGAGGAGGAGCATGTGGGAGGAGGCTCTGGGAGCAGGGTCACCCACTTTATCAGGGTGGGAAGACGCAGAAGCGCATCTTGGGGCAGCAATGACCCCACACCCCACATGAGTAGCTTGCAGAGCCCTTGCCAAAGGGGAGCAAAAGGCAGCTGGGCAAAGCCCATCTACAAGCCCACGGCAGTGGTGGGAGAGACTTTTGCCTCTCCCTCCTGCAAGGGCTACAAGTGCTGGCTGGATCTGCTGTGCTTTTCTTCCAGCCCTGAACTGGGTCCATGCAGAGCAGCCAGCACGCAGAGGAGAGGTCCAGGTTCTCAGGAGGACCTCGCACATGAGTCAGAGGAAGCAGGGAGAGGTTTTTTTCTTGGCAGGTGGCACTGAGAGCTCTTCCCAGCAAGGGAGGGGGAAGCGGGGGCCACACTCCTCCTCTTCTGGGCTCAGACCCCACAGTTTGGGGTGCGCCAGAGATCCCGGGCACTGGGTGCTGAGGGTTCTTCCAGGAGCTAGGGGATGGAGTGGCAGGTTCTGCCCGTGGGGACAACCTGTCTTTGCATACCTCCTGGCCACACTCACCCTTGGCAGGGCTTTCTTCAGGCTGCTGGCCAAAGCCTGCCCAGAGGACAGCAAGGGTTGGCTTAAGCAGGGTTGCTCCACACCTCTGCTTTCCCCACCCCAGCATCTGTGAGTGCAGAGTCCCTTGGGAAAGGGGCATTGGCCGCAACCTCCTCCAGCGTGGACCAGAGGTGGGGCACAGGTTGTGGGAGACATTAGCATGGTGTAGGGCTCCTTGAAATAGGAGACAGCCCCTCCAGGTCATCCCCCCTGCACCCACCTGCTTGGTGAAGAGGATGGCGGTGTCCCAGTACTCGGGGTGCTTGTCGCTGACCTTGTTCCACTTCTTCTGCCAGGCACAGAAGTTGCGAAGGGTGAGGGCAGCATTGCCAGTGACCTTGGGCCCCTTGTCGTCCTGCCCGATGAGGAGGAACTTGACCACAGAGATCTGGATGGGGTTTCGGATGCTGGGGTGCTTGTAGAGGCGGGCGGCCGTGGCCATCAGGGTGAGCAGGTAGTGCTGGAGGTCGTCCCCGTGGAACTTCACCATCGACTCGTCGGCCACCACCAAGGTCTCCACGTAACGGGGGACCGAGGCAAAGCGCTTGGCCCGACCCCCTTTCCCCCCTCCACGTCCCC